GCCGGAGGTTGTACCTTGCCATGATATCGAATGTGGCTCGCATATCAGCCGGGTGGTTCAGAGATACCTGGCTTTTGATCAGCATGTCGTCGACGTACGCCTCCATGGTCTTTCCCAGTAGTGGCTTGAAGAGCTTGTTCACCATGCGCTGGTAGGTTGCCCCCGAGTTCTTCAAGCCAAACGCCATTACCCGGTAGCACTAGGTTCCTTCAGGTGTGAGGAATGATGTCTTCTCTTCATCTTCCTTGGCCATGTAGATTTGGTGGTAACCCTTGAAGGCATCCATGAAACTTAGGAGTTCGCACCCTGCAGTTTCGTCCACCATTTGATCTGGACTGGGGAGGGGGTATGAATCCATCGGACAAGCCTTGTTCAAGTCCGTATAATCCACACACATTCTCCACGTGTCGCCCTTGGGAGCAAGGACAACGTTGGCCAGCCAATCTGGGTACTTGACTTCCCGGATGTGACCAACACTGAGGAGGTCTTTCACTTCCTTCTTGACGAAGTCTCGCCGGTCACTGGCCAGGTACCGCTTCTTTTGGCGTAGCGGTCGACTTCCCTCCCTCACGGCCAACCGGTGGCAGATAACAGAGCGATCTATCCCGGGCATATCCGCCACGCTCCATGCGAATATGCCCGCGTATTCTTGGAGGACCCGTGTAATCTGCTCCTTGAGATCCTCGGGGAGATTTGCTCCAATTCTGACCATCCTCGAAGAATCACCCGGGTGGAGTTCGATTTCCACCGTCTCAGCCTCGGGTTCCAGTTTCTCCCGGGTCTCTCCCTTTGTGATCTCAGAGGCAACACCGGGGCTGGCCGTCGGGACAGAGCTCAGACCCAGAGGCAACACCGGGGCTGAAATGACCGGTATGGTAGCAGCCACAGGGATGCTGGCTCCCTCGTTGGTGGCCTGCACCTGAGCGGAAGTAGCGTTGATTTGTTGGCTGGAAGACATTTCGAGTGGTGTTTTGGTGGGTAGGTTTGTGTTTAGGAGAAGAAACCTTAACGGT